CTACTGGGCAGGCTTCAACCATCGACCTCCCATCAGGAATCAATCCGTGGCAAGGTAGGAAATTTTGGTCCATTTGTGCAGTGAATGGCAAGGCAGTGGCGGCACCATTCGATGCTCCTAAGATTTTGGTCGCAGAAGTTCCACGGTCCTCTGAGGTGGAGTCCAGCAGTGTTCACCTCGGTCTTGAGTTTCCTGAGCTTGTGGCAGCTGCCCTTAGCTCTTGGATTTACACCGATGACGCCGATGAGTTGGCACCACCCCGCACCATCCCCAACGCAAGCTTTCAAATTCACCAAGTGATTACGCCCAGGGATTTGGGTGCAGCTTTGAAGATGGCAACAGTCACTGCGACTTTGCCAACTGAAAAGGTGCTATTCGTGATATTCAAAGGCACTTCGTACATCTTGGACTTTCTCAATTGGAACCTTGAACTTGATTACACGGTAACTGCAGACAAGGACTTCTTCGCCCATCGTGGTGCAGCAGGCACACTGCTGAACGCCCGGTTTTTGAAGAACGATGCTTTCCTAAAAAGGTTGAGATCTGAAAGAGCCAATGGCGTGCGGAAGGTGGTGTTTACCGGCCACTCACTGGGAGGGATGTATGCCCAGATGTCCTTGTACCTGGCTTGGAGGAGTCTCACAAGTCCTGAGCCATCAGACGAAAAGGCGCTTCTGGAATCCGTTGACCTGAGATGCTTCGTCTTCGGCTCGCCCATGGTGTTTGGTGGCTCCTCGCAGCAGGCCAATGAGTTTCGCACCTTTGCGCAAAGGTGTGCTTTGAATTACATCCATGCCGATGATCCATGCGCCCGTGCTTGGGGTGCGATCAATCTCCGACAATTTGTGCAGCAAGCCTCGCTGGCGGCACGGAAGGGGTTGACGAATGAGCTGGGAGGCATCAAGGGGTCCATTGTTTCTGGGGTCGTAGACGGGATGGCAAGCACAATGATGAATCGACCAGACTTCTCTTTGATTGAGGACTTTGCACGAAAATATGAGCACTTTCTCCCCTTGAAGGTGTTGAGCACAAAGAGGCCGTCCGCGTCCGCGTGCTGGAAGGAATTCAACCTGACCTCGAAGTGTTTCATGGACCACAACATTGAGAACTATGTCGACAAACTTTATGATGCGTTAGATGACAGCCGACCGGAATGCTACGTTCACAGCACCATGCCTTGAGCTTTGGTGGGTCGTATGTCGTGTGGTGCGTCGTCTCTCTCCCAAGGCGGAAAGAGACTTACAAGGACTCAAAGAGATGCAAAGAGTATGAACGCAAAAGATCAAATGCCGAATCTGACATTCACATCACGAAAGGTAGCTTGAGCTACCTGAGTTCTCCTTGCTTTAGCAAAAATGTATTACAATCAGGAGTTGGGATTGTGCATTGAGTTTGGTCCTGTAAGAGTTGATTCTGTTCGTCGGGGGGGGGGGGGCCCCTGGATCAACATGGACTTCTACCAGGGTTACTTGTGATTGCCTGCTACCTTTCGTTCACCCCCTCCTCTCTCAAGTTTTTGTCAGCCCGCTATAGTATCAACAATTTCATCCCACCCTCCCAACCTCGCGTTGCAGTGGCGAACTTGATCGTATCTCTATGTATATTGTTTCTGTGAAAGCCACATTCCATTTCGAAATGAAACCACACGGCATCACAGAAAGCCAAGCGCTGTGATGACCCTTTTGGCTCAAGCTCGGAAAAGCCCGACGTGCTGGGCACCCCATGTCATAACCACAGGTTATGAGCCCAAGGTGATCTTTTTTTGATTTTCCAAGTCCACCTTCTGCCGTCGCGAGGACGGGGAGGTGTTGGTCCCCATGGAGCAACGAAGACGCCGGCAGCAACGGTCTCGAGAGCGGAAAGAGGCCGCAGCTCCACCGGTGGAGATCGGTGTGGCGGACCGCCGGCTGGATGCGCTCATCGAGGAGGAGCTGCAGGGCAAGGCCATGAGGGCGCAATCAGTGCTTGTGAGAGCAGCTGAGGTGAAGCGGCTGGGCGCAGCTGCTGGGGATGGATCTGGCCATGGAGGCCCTACGGCGGTGGCTGCATCGAGCGGTCATCAAGGACAACAGGAAGTTCGACAGCTGTTGAATGACCCAAGAGGCCAGGTGATGGGGCTTGGGCATTTGCAGGAGGCAACATCCTGCACCAAGTCCAGGTCTGGGACATGTTGAACGTCTTCGAGAACGCATCTTGAGGGAGGCCGAGGAGACCTTTGCTCGGGAGGTGAAGAAGATGACGGACGCTGGAGATTCGGCATCATTCACTTCGGTGCCGAGTGCGAAGGCGGAGGGACCGCAAGAACCAGTGGGGGAGCCTACCAAGCTTGGTGGACCACCTGACACTCCTCCTGGTCTTGCTCCAGTACACGATCCTCGAGGTCATGGAAGTGGATTGATTGGGGCGGCGAACGTGATGAAGCCGCTGGAGTCGGTGACAGCTGCACTGCCTGAGGCAATGCGGAACCTGGAGTTGCCACAGTTGCCATCACCTTCGACTGAGAATGCGGCCCTGCTCTTTGGAGACTGGCTGACGGTGATTTCTCCGTTGATGGGAGACCTCAGTACGTCGTCTAGGGAGTTTTGGGATTGGGTGCAACGAGAGGTGGAGGTGAAATACAATGAATGGCTTTTGGCGACACCATTGGGGCGGCTGAGAATCAAGGTGGAGGAGCAGGTGTCCCCACGGTTCCAACGACTGGATCAGCGGGCGAGTTCTACTTTGCTGGCAGCGCTTCCGGAACCGGTGAGAAAGGACATTGTTGCAAGTCGCAGGGTGGCTACTCAGGCGATCTTGTACAAGCTCTTCACCATCTACCAACCTGGTGGAAATGCAGAGAGGGGCAATTTGTTGCGCAGCCTGACGGAGGTGAAGTGCGGCAGCTCCATCCAGGACACACTAGGCGCTATTCGAACTTGGCGCAGGTGGATTTGTCGAGCAGAAGAACTGCATGTAGCGATCCCGGACTCGATGGTCTTGATTCAGGCCTTGTCCAAGGTTGCGGAGAACCTCACGAAGCATGGAGGAAGCCAAGTGGGATTCAGAATTGCGGCAGCTCGGCAGGAACTTGAGGTCGATCGGAGGCCTACGCTGACCACCACCAAGGAGTTTGCAGAGTTTCTCCAGGCAGAGGCGGAGGATCTGGCTTTGACTATGCCGCATCCGTCGTCATCCAAGACTACCAGTTCAGGAGCAGTCCTGCAGCCGGTAGCGGGAGCTCAGCCAACTATCAAGGCTTTGGGGGGTGGAGGCGGCGGTGGAGATGGACCACCGAAAACGAAACATGCATGCCGCTACTGGGGGACAACCGGTGGGTGCAAGCGGGGTGAGACCTGCACATTCGCCCATTCCTGGGAGGGCATCAACAAGTCAGACAGGTGTTTCCATTGCTCTGGGGAGAACCACTTTGCGAAGGACTGTCCATATGGTCGAGAACGACCTGGGAAGGATGGAAAGAAGACGGCTAAGTTGAAGGGGAGTGGAAAAGGGATGCCGGAGAAGGAGGAGTCTGGCTCAGGTGATCAAGGAAAGCCAGGCGCTACTTCATTGACGAGCCCTATGTCCACGTCTACCAGGCCGACGTCAAGTGGTGGAGAAAAAGGACGGGATGGTGGAGTTGAACCAGAAAAGAAGGGTGATCCTGCATCGGAGCTAATCACCGAGGCCACATCCCTTCTGAAGTCTCTCCGAAGCATGAAAACTTTCAGGTTGAAGCAGATCAATGTGGCAGAGTGTGACGAGGGGTTGGAGCTTGCACTGTTGGATGGTGGAGCCACTCACCCATTGAGAATGGCACGACAAGAAGAGCGAGGGAGGTTGCAGCCTGTTACGGTGGAACTTGCCCATGGCTGTACAACACTGTACAAGCACCCGGATTTTGACACTCTCTTGTCGCTGGAGCCGGTGGAGCCGATTTTGCCGTTGAGTCTGCTGGTGGAGAATGGGTACGCCATTCACTGGAATGGACAGGGTTGCACGATCATGCACCAGCAGCTGGGAGCTGTGAAGTGTTGGTTGAGATCGGGGTGCCCTGTCATGAATCGAAAGGATGCCATGGTGATGTTGGCAGAGTTCGAGGAGAACCAGAAGAGTCGGAAGAAGCTGTCCCAAGCGGACTGGAGTTGGTGGCGCAGCATCATGCCGGACGTGCCGGAGGACGTGCTGGAGATGATGGTTGGGTTTTCGAGTGAACCGAACCCTGAGTTGCTGCCTTGGAATAGACGTCAGAGGCGTCGACATCAACGAAGTCGGGGCTTGGTGATTCACCTTTTCTCTGGAGCTGATACAGGGAGGTGGAAGGGCACTTTGCCGGACGACATGGATTGGATTTTCTTGGATCTGGAGTTGGGGGATGGCTTCAACGTGCACAATGCGAATGTGTGGAGCTATGTGTGCTCGCTGGCCAGATCCGGGAAGGTGAAGGGAGTGGTTGGAGGTCCGCCTTGTCGTACCACACGCAGATTGAGGTGCAAGGGGCCCCCAGGACCAAGGAGAGTGAGAGGCCGTGGCTCTGACCGTTGGGGATTGGAGGGGCTAACCGCCCGAGAGCGTGAGCAAGTGCGAGGGGATTCCGCACTGGTGGTGAAACAGGTGGGGCTATGGCATCTTGCGGAGGAACATCGTGAAGGATCTGAGCCGGTGGCATTTCTTCTGGAATCTCCGCAGGACCCCGCAAGCTATGTGGGAGATGGAGTTGAGGCCGGGCATGATCATCAATTTTTCTTTGAATGGCCATTGTTGAGGAGAATGGTGGAA